CGTCTATCAGGAATTGGTTAAGTCTATTAATTCTCTGAGAGACTCGTACARTCCTCAGCAACAAATACGCTCAAGTAGTGTCACGTGGTTAAGGGARARCGCTGACCACATCATACCTTTGCTTGAAAGGCTCAGATCTCGGTAGGTGCTGAGATCCGATAATGATTTGTGTGTAAAGAAGATTATACAATATTGTGCATGRACACTGCTATTGAGGCATGATACGAACACAGAATATATTAAAAGCATATATTAGAAACAATCAGAAAATAATCCAAAACACAGCACTAAACTCTATATATTCATAGAATGCAAGTTGTAACTGGTCTGCCAAGGGATATCATCTGGTCGAGTGAAGATTTACAGGTATCCAAGTGTATTGCACTAGCAATAGCTTTGAAGAGGTACTCATACTATGTAGATATGCAATAGGTCTCTCTGTGTAATATATTGAACAGCCGACTCGAGGAATAGGGAAAATCAAKTCTTCCTCGAATGACGTCATAGTCTTGTTGGATGACGTCATGGTCTCTTTGGGTGACGTCACCTTGTTGGATGACTCCATAGTTTGGATGACGTCATWGYCTCTTTGGATGACATCACCTTGTTGGATGACGTTGTCTTGTAGGTTGACCTCACAGGTTTTGATTGTTATCATAGTCCTGTTGGTTGGGAGAACTAATGAAACATATGCAAAATGTCAGTATAAACACCTTCATCATGCAAGAGTACGTACCAGTTATGAGTTACTGTATTTACGGTCAGGATTGTATTTTACTAGGTTGCCAAATACAACGAATACGGGCACTATCACTGTCACTATGATTCTGGAGCAGGGGGGGCAAACGGAAAAACCTGTTGTCACTATGACGTCACGTCCGATATTGACGACTGCGTGCCTTGCCGGTAAGAATAGGTCTTGATGTGATATATTCGTGCTGTCCAGGCCCTAATCCCTGTGGAACAAAGCGGCCTTGTTGTGCTTGTAAATTTCTGCTTAGATATCTTGATGTATAGTCAGATTTGTTGTCTTTTCAGGTACTTGACGTTCTTCTATTATCTTAATGTACCAGAAGAAGGCGGAGAAACAGCTTTTCCAATCGCTGATGACATGAACACAACAGCCAAGGTAAACACCTTTAATGGCGGAGAATCCGTTCCCTGGTTCAAAAGACACTAAATGTACGCAATAACACGACAATAAAAGGGGCAATTCAGCTGATTCATGCAATAACACGACAATAAAAGGGGCAATTCAGCTGATTCACGCAATAACACGACAATAAAAGGGGCAATTCAGCTGATTCAGTGAGAACACGAATGCTGAATGTGCGAGCAGAGGAAGGACTTACAAATTGAAAAAAGGATGGAAGAGAGAAACACAACTGGAGGAATAGAAGAGGATGTATTTTTTTGATGTGAGAGCGATCACCATATCACATGCTGCTTGCTAACTATTTCCGTGTGTTTACGAATTCTTACTCCTCATCATCTCAATAATCATTATTAAAGTACAATTATAATCAGTTATAATCACTTTATTCAATTTTAATCCTTTAGTTATTGTTYAAAGAGAAGTCTCATTTGTGCAACCTGTCAAAATCCTGTCAAAAGGCAAGTATTTCTTACAAACCTAAACGTGGCGCAGCGTTATTTTGGTACAATCATCATATAAACGACGAGACTGGTTGGTTGGGACCTCTAGAYGGACACAGCGTACATGGCGGATGTGACGTTATCAAAGGTACTAAGTGGGCTGCTAATAGTTGGATCAATGTAGGTAAAGATAGATTGAAGGACGAGAAAGCATGGGCCGACCACAAACAATATGTTCGAGACTATGATAATGTTTCGTAAAATAATATTAATTTAGAATWAAAAATAACATTTTACATTAATTTCCTTTATTGACAAAAACTAATACACACTGAAAAGAGTCTTGGTCATGCTATAGTCAGTGTTTAAAGGAGAACAGCTATGTCCTAAACCACTAACTGAACGGACAAGATTGATTTATACTCACATGGTTTTATATTTAAGAGTATACCGAGAGAGTTGTGCATTTAGAAGAATATGTTATTTAGAAGAACGAATGAAAAAAGGATCTTGTAAGGAAAGATTGTTGATGCTGCACCAGCAACAGGGTCGCGTCCATCCGGGCAAAACCTGTTGCGACGAAAAAAAAACTGATGTGCTTCATCATACAGATTCTGGCACTTATCAAAGACGTCCCTCTTCACACACTTCTTCGCTTTAGCATACTCCCTGAAAATAAAATGAGTACATCGAATTGAAGAATTGCTGTCAGGCTTTCAAATATCATCAAAGTTAAACCACCGAAAAGGAGTACGGGAAAGCCAGGAGCTCCCCCCCTGGGGAAAGCAAATCATTCATATAATGTCGTGCGTATAACTGTGTTTTGGTTCTAAAAGATTGTTTGCAATACTCTGAATCTAGTTGGTTCCTTKCTTCCCGGAATAAGACCCGTACAAAAGGTTTAAGGATCAGACTTTTATTTTAATTTAATTTGATGTGCATCAACTTTCATTGCACAATTCATCCATTTTTCAAGGTTACAAATCTGATTTGGGAAATTCGACTCTATAACTGAACTAACACCACCGTTTGTCTAGTGCGTGTTGGACGTCACACAGTTCASTTACACTTCAAGTCTTTCAATACTGAAGAGCTATGCATTCAAAAGAATATGTTAATTAAAAGAACGAAGAAAAAGAGGATTTTGTAAGGAAGGACAGWGGATGCTGCACCAGCGACAGGGTCTTGTCCATCGGGGCAGAACATGTTATATTTTCCWAGTGATACGTTGATCATTTCTTTAAAAAGGCCTTCAGGAATGCAATTGTGATCATCGATGACTTTTTTCACACATTTTTTTGTTTTCACATACTCGCTGAAAATAAAGAACAAGAATGATTTGAGGTTCTAAAATAGGATGGAGGCTCATTCACATTCAATCYTCAATTTTAACACAAGGATCTTCTCATAACGGCCGTTAGAGACTGAGATCCAGAACTCAATGCATATCTTCAGTATATGATTTAAGGGATACTGATACGAATTGTGTCATTTATATCGAGTTTATAACCAACGATTTCGACTCTTACCCACAAGTTCGTTTGTCAGCCCTGTTTGCTACCCACATATTGAGTACAGTTCTGGAACAATCATTGATTTTGGACGTGTATTCTGAAATCGTCAAATTACAAGGGAGGGTGGCATTACCCTCAACACTAGGGAATTGTATGCCTGCCTTATCRCAGAATAACTCCTTGGTTAYGAAACTTTTAAAGACCAACTTTAACATAGCGTCATTCAGATTCTGATTAGAGAAACAAGATGCCAACTTCTTTACAGCGCAGTCTTGTAAGGTGTTCAGCTCAACGCTGTTGGCAAAAAATGTACTTGTGAGTTTGTTGAATACAGTAAAAACCCGCGTATAAGAACAAGTGGATTAAGAACACCCAGGCCTGATTTTAGGAAATAAAGTACCATTTATAGAACGCATTCAGCCTGAAAAACGAAAGTTGTTCTTACATGGAAAAATATCAAAGATCAACACTACTTTTAATTGCACACATAATAGTTCCACCCCAATTATATGTAACAAAATATTAAACAAAATAAAAATATGTACTGTTACATCGATTTCATCTATTGGTAGTCTAGTATGTTCCTTATTTTTAGAAACCTTTTTAAGAACACTTATGAAAACTTACAGGCTTATTTAGCAGATTATAACCCTTTTTATAAGAACCAAATCAGCCTGAACCGCCAAAATAGGTGTTCTTATACGCGGGTTTTTACTGTAGTGCAGGGCCAGTTTTGATGTCACTTGTCGAGTCTTTCAGCCCTGTTTGTCGTTGTACAGTAGTCTGTTYATTCGTCTGATTGTCTCATCATACTATACTGTTGTCTAGTGTTATATGTCTATATGTAAGTCAAACGTCCTGTCTTTAGTCCTTAAGATAATTTGTCGTCTGGTGGTCTGTGCAATATGTCATATGTCTATTGTAAAATCTGGCGGTACGTCTGCCGGTCCATCTAATGGTCTGTGTTCTGTCTGTCTGTCGGTCGGTCGGTCTGCCTGGATAGACCTTATCCTATCTCCAGCACTGAGTCATACCTGCAATCAGACTTCGGGTTCTTCTGCAAAGAGTGAATAAATCCAGTATTACACCCTTCCATCTTCCCGAAGTATTCAGTCATTGAACACGAACCAACCTGCTGAGCTTCAACATGGCGGGMYACCACAGCTAGAATACAKACAAGAATATTATCAAGAAAACTGATTAGACAGACAGTTTTTATTAGCTCTTTAATCCTTAGGGCACAGAAGATCTTCATCAGTGCTGAAGTAGGCATGGCAACTCATGAACATCTAGAGCGCCCTCCTTCCTTACTGGTATTTGCATAACAATTATAGCTTTCTGACAGTAATGCAGTACCAATTGAAACCTGCTTTTTGATTGCTCCTTAAGTACAGCACCACTATTGTTAGGTTAGGTTTTGTTATATTGTTGGAAGACTTATCTATTGTTTGTCCCTTGTTTTCTCAACCTATCATGAGACCCGTTCCGAGCGGTGCTAACTGGCTCCTTTCTGATCGGAAGCATTTTAAAAAATCCACACACTTTGTCAAAATTGAAAAATGTAAAACGTTTATTCGAGTTATAGGAGAACGAACAGGGGACATGGTGTGGTACGAATTATTACTATGGAGTTACAATCCTACTTCAKGGACACCAGCACGGTGGAGGGAGCTTCGCAATCAAATAAGAGCAAGAATCTTAACTGAAATGATATGGTGATCTATAATTTCTGTACCCTGGTTCCAGAGGTTTGATACTTTCTCTCTTCGCTATTGTTTTTGTCGGCAAGTGCCGTAATCGAGGCCAATAGCGAAGAGAGAAAATGTCAAACCTCTGGAACCAGGGTACAATTTCTGAATAGTATATTATATTATGAACCAGCTCCACTACCAATTTCGGCGTCTTAGCGTAACAGCTTTCGTRACACATTTCAACAAATAATTCCAAAAGAAAATAATATATTATACCACCAAACTTCGTTTGATTGTTTATATCCCCAGAGAGCATCCATTTTAGTAGAAGAAAACTTTGTAGGATATATATATAGTCAAAATGTACAATGAAGTCACGTTGAAGCCCAGAATACAGATAGATATAGAACTCTTTCTTTTGAAAACGACACAATGGACTTATTATCAACTCCATTTTGATCGTATGCYCTGTTTTTTTTTTATTTGTTCGAAAAAAAATGCGATATCACTATATTTCAAAGTTATTTGATTGCTTATTAAAATGACTCGAATCGGACATTGTTTGACGGCCTTTGACTATGATAGYCAGGGTGTGCCGTTCTTATAACATTCATTCTTCAGGAGGAGCAGACGAGGCCTGTTGTTCTAAATAACTGTTCTTATGCATTTTTTCCTGGGAAAGGGATTTTGAAACTGTGGTGACCTATTATAATTTTGCTGGCAACCAGTCAGTCGTGACTTACAGCTGGCTGGACATAAGAACAGATATATTTTTCCCAGGAAACCGTCGGCTCCTCTTGATTCTTATATGAATTTACTGAAAATCGTGCCGTAACCCAATCGATATAGCTGTGTTTTTAAGTTATAAGCGAGCTGCATTGAAAAAAACTGCTTTGCGATCATTCGAAGTATATATACACGAAAATAAAATCACATTTGGTTTGGAAAAGAACTCACCGTTTTCTCGATTGCATGCGGTCAATTGTAKGAATAACAATGAACAAACTAAGATCGTAACTGAATCGAAAATAAGAAAGTGTTGTATACGAGAATACTGCATCTTTTACGGTAGTAAATTTCATTGTCGATAGTAGCGAAAGAGTCGTTTATGTTTGGTTCAGCCAAGTTGTGTATAACACTGCATGTGTAAAATCTGATCGTAGTCTTTAAAGAGCACAATTAGTATGTAGCTTGAGTCTGTTAATACTCATTACATACCTGTGATCAAAGCGATGGCAATCAACTCAAAAGCACTCATATCCAATAATCACTATTTTCAAAAAGGCACTATTAGCGATCGGCGTCGTTGTGAAATGTTGAGGTCTTSAAACCTTGCTTACCAAATGCTAAAGCACGTAAACGAGCGCATTTAAATTTGATTACCATGTGGCCGAATACGATTAAATTAATCCCTCGAGTCATCTCATTGGTTGGTTAAAAGCTTCCATACTGGTAATTATTGTAACGCCGACTATCATGTACCCTGCGAGCAGAGGAATTTTGCACCCCCTTCTACGAAGAAAAGGAAAAATACCTCTGCCACGGGACGGTTAATTTCCTGTTGAGCATGCGCATGGAACGATGATATGATTGGATGTTATCTATGACATTGATTGACGCTCTGTCAAAATCGCGTCTATCGTATAACGTGTTTTTTGTTCGCGGAAAACTATCGCAGCTATAGTACTATTAAACGATGGTGTGTTTGACCTAATTTTTTCATTAGAAAATAGAAAATATCCTTTGAAAAATCCTCTGTTTATAGATAAAATAAGTTCCCGATTATGCTAAGTTTGTTATTTATAAAATTAATATCCGAATATGACCTTTTGACACGCACCATTTCATCAAGACGGATAAATTTGATGTTGTAAGTAAGGCAACAATATTTGACAAACATTCATTCCCTGTTGCAGCTTAATCAAATTTTCAGTTAAAATTTTTAGAGCTTTGAAATACGGATTCTGTAATAAAAAACATTCGGTCACAAGAATGCTGTGAATCATCTGTCAAGAAGAACGCTGTGATTGGTTTAGTCACGTGGAGTGATCACATGGTTTACCTCCAAGATTTTGGAGGCGGCAACATCACAAGAACTAACCGTCCTGTGGCAGAGGTGTTTTTCCTTTCGTAGATAGGGGAAAAATTCCTCTGCTCGCAGGGTAACTATCATGTAGACTCCCCGCAACCGTTTTCCGGTGTCGTCTCCTTAATCCTCCCTCACAACTCTGACTCTCTTTGGATTCACAAAATATGATAATAATATAAAAAAAAACCAGAACCGAGGCTAAATTCATTCAGATTTAAGCGAGCTTCGGRAGTTGAGAAAGTCTGATTTCATAGCCATGTGGGACAACTATCTGAGTGATGGAGATAAACAAACTTTTAAATTATAAAATCAACGTTGTTCCGGCAATGGTCATCTACGCATAAAGAATCTTTCAGTGCTCTACATCGGATCAGTTTTATTTCAACAATTAATTGCGTTTGGTCTAGACAATCATAATGAGTCGATTTAATTATGCGAAGAAAGGACTGATTGATTCATTAATTTAATACAACGTTCATCCAATCAGAGAACTACAAGCACCACTATTAAGCCTGCCATAAAGACATCCTGCCAAATAAACACTACTTTATTCAGAGATGAATTCTTTACGGTTTGATTTTCTTGTTCAGTTTGTGGTTTCAATATGGATTGAGCAGCTGATGACATAGGACTTGATGACGTAGTTACTGCTCTTGATGACGTAGTTACTGCTCTTGATGTCATATGAAACGTACGTGAGGTAGATTTSGACGTCATTGGTGTCGTAGCACGGAATGGCGCAAAGGTTCTCGGGAGTTGAGTGATTGTTGGTGTCGTAGTTGGATCCAGTCCGTTAGAACAGAATGGGTTGTAGTCACTTAGATATAGTCGAGCCAGTTCCTGATACCAACTAAGGGTTGTACAATAGGYTTCAATGGTACGATTGGCGCATCTTTTTACCAGTTTGTACTCACTGCAGAATGATTAAGATTAAGATTACAAAGAGATTCCAATCAGTCAAATCCCTGAAATCGGCTGACCTTATAGCCAATCAAGGGGACCTGTGCAGCAACACCAGTTTCTAAACCAAACATGATAGAAAAGTTCCAGAAAAGGCGTCGCGGCACAGTTATTGCAGCAACTAAGCAATCCTTCATTGAGTCATCAGGGTTCCCTGCGCCATCTTGAAAGGTAGCCGTGCCTTTGCATCGAAGCGAGACGACTATTGAACGTACAATGATAGAAACCTTCTTTCACACCTACAGACAATTATTTACAGGTATCTATCATTGCACGCTAGACGGTTGTCTCGCTTCGATGTTAAGGCACGGCTACCTTTCAAGATGGCGCAGGKAACCGTGAAGGAGACTATYAACCAGGACACGGTAAATTAACCAACCAATTGATAATTTACTATTCAAACATACAAAAACAATCAACAAAACAGACAAACTAACATAAACGATTAACTAAACCACCAACCATCATTATAGCGTGTCATCCTTATAGTGGAAACTCTTCACTGTCTTACCTGCAAAGTCTTGAATCAGCCTTATTGGTTTGCCACATCTTCATAAACCTGTCTGAGCACYGATTGATTTTACCAGTGTATTGAACATCACTTACATTACATGTYAAAGCTGTTTCACCGGCAGGTAACTGTACTCCTGCTCGATTGCACATCATATCAGCTGTCATGATTTGCTGTAGCATTGTTTTAAGATTATTATCACTATACTCGGGGAAACAGTCTTTGATAGATGTGGAGGTACAGCCAAGTAGCGTATCCAGTTCGGTGCTTTAGAGCAAAATATAATAAAAATATGAATATTTAATACTGAAAAGCAAACGTAGGAGCCGACGGGTTCCTGGAAGA